GCCAGGATGGTCTCGATCTCCTGACCTCGTGATCCGCCCGTCTCGGCCTCCCAAAGTGCTGGGATTACAGGCTTGAGCCACCGCGCCCGGCCCAATGTTCTAATACATGAAATCAAGTTAAGATTTCTGTTCCTCTTGATTTTGGTTCCCAAACAATCCTGTTTCTTTCTCTGTATTCCCAATTAAATCTCAAAACTGCTCTGAGCTGAGAAAGGGATTCAGCAGCCAGAATACCTTTAAGCAACATAGCCCTGTGACAACACTGGTGGGGAGAAGGGAAGAAATTAAATAGGATGCAGACGGGCTACACTGTCCCCGAAGATCTACTTTGATGCTGCAGTGCTGTCTAGGCCAGGAGAAGAAAGCACAGTTAGCTCAGAGCTTGGTGTTGGCAGAGAATCTCACACCAGATTTAAAAACCATCCTGAAGTGCTCAACTGTCTTCTTTCCAACTGGGAAGCAAAAGTCTGGTTCTCTGGAAATGAGGGCAGCTGGGGATGGTAACATTCCTCTTTATTTTACTTTCTAGACATTATTGAAGCCCATGAAGTTCTTTGTAAAGAATTAGAATCCTAACACAATGATTCATTTTTGAGGTAAAATACCTTAATATGTAGATGATTCAGAGTTTTTGGAATAGATCAGGAGGAAGGAAGGAAAGAGGGAAGGAAGGAAGGAAGGAAAGAAAGAATGAAAGAAGGAAGGATGGGAGGGAAGGAAGGAGAAATGACAAATATGTATCTTCCACATGCTGTTGCTGGTGGAGGCTTTTGTTATTAAATTATATATACAGAAATTTACAGGATAAATTAAAATCTAAGAGATTTTAAAGAGTTAAATACACATAATTAAAATACACATTCACACACACATAAATAAACCTACAAGAGAGTGACTTTTGTTCTGTTTTTGCAATTCACTTACATGTGGAATGCAGAACACTGTGTATCTGCCCACCAGGGGAACCGATAAGATGAATCCAAAAATCATGCTGGGCAAAGTTTATCCATAACCACCAAGTAACTAAGCAGCACGGCTTGTGAGGACTTGGTGGTTAACTTCATGCCACCAGTGAAAGACACTAGCTCTTAGTTCTGCAGACTAAATATTCTGGGTTAGCTCAGAATGTATGGAGGTCCAACTGATGGCACTGACAGCTTCACCCTCCAAGGTGTTTTATGCTGCCAGGGCTCACAGAACTCCTTGGCCTCTGTTGAGGCCGCCAATGGTACCAATGATTACAATAAATTTTCAGACATGGACACCTATACAGTAGGAATTGGAATGAACCCCCTACTCAATTCACCTAAGCCACCTTCCTAACTATAATGGGAACAAATTTTATCACCTCCCACCTAGGTCACTTCAAACTGAAAGGCTTTGAATTTTCAGTCAACTGGCATCTTCCCGTTATCTTTCCTATTACATATTTCAGACTAAGACAGGTAAGGCAAATGGTCAGTGATGGGTCTGGAGGTCCAACTGAGTTTGGAAAATAATCACATTTTAGCTGTCCATAAAGAGATGCGCTTGGCACCCAGAACAAGCCCCCAGCCCCCAAGTTACATTGATTTTTAAGGCAGATTTATCCACCACAGGAGAAAAAAGAATCCCAAGCCTGTATTCATGCCAAAATTTCCTCTTGGCTAAACCTTTGCCATTTCATAAAATTATTAAAAGCAAAGTAGTTACAGTCCTATGTATATACTGTACATTATATATATATGTATATATGTATGTATAGATATAAAAATTTAAAACCTACACCCAGAGGCCAGTGAAGGAATCTGGAACAGTCATATATACACAAACCAGCAATGGTGTAGGATAAGGTTTCTGTCCCAGGATTCTTTGCTGTCACAGTCCAGGCATGATGTAAGCAATGTTGTCTAGTGTGTTTGACTGCAAAACAAAGAAAAATGTTCAACTGAAGAGTACTTTACCTTGGTTTCCTGACATGTTTCTTTGTTCAAGGAGAGAGATAAAAAAATCAAATGGAGTTAGAAAAACAGGTGAGAATGAAGACGGCATCCTGTTGTTTGTTATGCTAGGAACTTTTCTGCTGACTTCTCCCATTAATCCTAGTAAAAAAGAGGGAGACAATTCCTGTACCGTCTTTGGGTGTAGAATAGCAAACAGGAAACACAGGAATCGCAGTACCTCGAGGGCGAGAATGCTGCTTTCTTAAGCACTATTTTGGTAAATGGCTTGTTTTCTAGTTTCAGTGAAAGCGCAGCATGCATTTGATAATATAGCATCATGTTCCACGAGCTAACAGATAAAGGAAGCACTATGTGTCACAAAGCCTTATGAGCCTGTGTCTGACAGTGTTCATTAAGGCAGGGCATCTCTGATGCCCAATGGGTCTGACCCTAAAAATCCAGGGAAAACTCACCAAGACCTGTTTGGGACAGCCATTCAATTCAGGTAGTTGTGTGGTGAGACATGCCAAGGGGCCAAGGGCACAGATAATGGAATCCAGAAGCACTGACAAACTGCCAGACACAGCCACCATACCCTGAAAAGGAGAGGAGGTTGTTGCTTGAGTCACACTCCTGATGCTCTCTCTGTGTTCAGGCTGACTTCCTCACACAGTACTTTAAATCCTAGGCAGTTCTAATCTTACAATTCGAAACTTTATAGCAGAAATGGAAAGTTTACTCTGATAACTCTGTAAGTTGTTTAGAAAGAAAACTTTTACAACACATTCCCAGGTTTCCTTTCTATAATCCTAGCCCATCTTACCTTCTGTGTGACCTTGGGGAGGTCAAATACTTAACTTCTGTCTCTTTAACAGGAATAGTAAAAAATGCTTTACTTACTCTGGAGAGCTGTTGGTAAGATTTGTGATGATGTATGCAAAGTGTATCTGTTATAAACTCCACAAATATAGCTCAGATGTGATTACTATGAGAATCCTACAACCCTACATGTATGTAGCTTTTGATAGCTGATGATATAATTTTTCTTTTCTTTTTTTTTTTTGAGTCAGAGTCTTGCTCTGTCGCCCAGGCTGGAGTGCAGTGGCCGGATCTCAGCTCACTGCAAGCTCTGCCTCCCGGGTTCACACCATTCTTCTGCCTCAGCCTCCCGAGTAGCTGGGACTACAGGCGCCCGCCACCTCGCCCGGCTAGTTTTTTGTATTTTTAGTAGAGACGCGGGGTTTCACCATGTTAGCCAGGATGGTCTCGATCTCCTGACCTCGTGATCCGCCCGTCTCGGCCTCCCAAAGTGCTGGGATTACAGGCTTGAGCTACCGCGCCCGGCCTGATGATATAATTTTTCTAGGTTGAGTTGTTCACTCTCAAAGAGAGGTGAATTTGGTTCAAATTTTAACATTTTATGTAATTCATAGTTATATATTTGTGATTCAAAGAGATAAGAAAGACTGTTGCTACTGCCCAGTTCTTGTATAATCTGCTTTAACTAGAAACACTGTAAGGATACGTCATGTTGGGAAGCAGCACAGCAGAGTCCTTAAGAAAATGAGCTCTGGATTCAAGACTGCCCGGGTCCAGATCCTGGCTCCACTACTCACTGTTTTGTACCTGGGCAAGTTGCTTACTATGCTGTGCCTGTAAAATACTAACAGCATCTGCAGCAGATGGGATTGAGATAATAGATATAATATACTTGGGATGGTGCTTAATACACGGTTAAGTACTCAAAAAATATCAGTAATTATGACTATTATTATCAACATCTTGATCTTCAAAATTGCATTTCTGGCTGTCTTTTGGGTCTCTCCTTTTGGACATTTCTCCATCTCAACATGCTGTAAGGAAGAATAACCTTCCCATCCAAATCTAACCCTCCTTTTAGCATCCATTTCTCTGCCAGAGTCACCACCATTCACATAACTGCCCAGTTTCAAGGCCAAGCCATCAATGACTCTTCCTTTCCCTCATCCTCCTTGTCAACATCTCCCCTCTATACTTTCTGAGGGCAGCAGTGCAGTAAGAGGTTAAGAATCTGGACCTTGAGGTCACATTCCAAATTCAAGTCTCTGCTTTACCACTTAGGGGCTGAAGTCTAGAGAAAGTGACTTCACCTCTTCAAGTCTGTTTATTCTTCTGTAAAATAGGGGGAACAAAAATTCTGTCTTACAAAGCTGCAGTGTGAATTAAATGATGTAATTCATATTAAGCACTCTGAACCAAAGTTGGGTAAGCATTCAATAAAATGTTAATATATAGGGAAAATAATATCTAAAACCCCAAAAATGTAAGTAATTAGCAATATTATTCTATTACCTTTGCCCTATAGTTATTTATAGCTAATTTATCTTTGTCACATCTAGACTTGGATTGTTGTTATAACTTCTCCCCAATTCTGGTCTCTTTTCACTTCCAATCTAAAATAAAAGATATTCTCAGAGAAAAGTAAATGAGAGCTCTGATCTCATCCCTTTCCACTCTAAAAACCCCTGTAGTTCCCCAACAGTAAAGTATACACACTTCAGAATGTCTATGAAGTCCCTCTGCAATTTGAGTTCTAGCCTTAACTTTCTTAAGATATATATATATGTGTATTTTTTAATTTTTATTTTTTTTGAGACAGGGTCTCACTCTGTTGCCCAGGCTGGATGGTGGATGGAGTGCAGTGGTGTGATCTCAGCTCACTGCAACCTCCACCTCCCGGTTGAAGCAATTCTCCTGCCTCAGCCTCATAAGTAGCTAGGATTACAGGTGTGCACTATCACGACTGGCGAATTTTTGTATTTTTAGTAGAGACAGGGTTCTGTCATGTTGGCCAGGCGGGTCTCAAAACTGCTGGCCTCAAGTGATCCTCTCATTTTGGCTCCTAAAGTGCTGGGATTACAGGTATGAGCCAGAGTGCTCAGCCTCTAGCCTTAATTATCTAACTTATGCATTGTATGTTCTAGTTTTACTGCTAAAATGATGAACATTAATTTACTGTTGAACATATTATTTTGATAATTATATGTCCATTATGATGTACATTAAAAAAATAGAATATAACCCTTGAGATGTCATGAATGTCATATAAAAGCATAGACAAGTTTATTTAAATAAAACTGTAAAGTAAATAATAGTGTAAGTGGTATGTGGAAATTGTAAAATTACGGGGATCTATGCAAATGATTAAATTCAGGCCAAAAGTGGATTAGAGGGAGAATGGGGAAAAATTGCTAATGGGTACCGGGTTTCTTTTAGGGGTAGTAATATGTTTTGGAATGAAATAGTAGTGATTCACAATTCTGTGAATAATCTAAAAATCACTAAATTCTGCACTTTAAAGGGGTGAACTTTGTGCTTACTAAACTAAATGGAAATATCTGGGAAAATTCAGAATATGCTTAAAACAAACCGTTTTTACTTCTTATGAAATTAAGAATGATTAAATATGAAAAATAAGTAAGGTCACAGAATATTTCTTCTGGAAATACCTATATCCATTCAGATATCGAGACTATATGAAAGTGCTGAAGTTCTTTTGACTCCTGCTAAGTTTTTTAGAAACTAGCCAAAGAATTTAGATACAGCTTCAGCTCTTGTGGCCTTTGGCATTTTATTTGTTGAATAATTCAGTTTCCACACTGAAGCAAGTGATTAATTTTACATTCCTACACTAATTTCTTAGCTTAAAAATGGCTTTAGTAGCTTAGACTGGCTTCTTTGCTGAAATGTCTTACTATAACTTGGTAGAAAGCAGAACTACTATACTACTGAGTCAGCTAAGGGGACAGTATAGTTAGAAATTGAATATGGTGATAGAAACAAAACACCACAGCTGTGCAGGTTAAGTGATTTTGAAATCGAAGCTTAAAAGGACAAAAATCTCCCTAGGGCACATAGCACTGTATAATTTAAGTGCAGAGTACTGGAGAGCTGGGTACTTAACTTCTCCATTTGCTACCTATTTTCAAAATAGAAGAACTCTTAATCTCCTATACAATTGAATCTATTCAAGACTTTGCTGGAATTGCACAGAAAAATGCAAAGTCTCTTAGAAGTAGACAGAAGTAATCAAAACTGCTATGGAATTTGTACTCATCGTTTTTCTTGCCTTTTTGTTTTTGTTTTTTTAAAATAGATAGGGTTTTGCTCTGTCACTCAAGCTGGAATGCAGTGCAGCAATAATAGCTTACAGCCTTTGAGCTCCTGGGCTGAAGCAATCCATCTGCCTTAGCCTTCCAAGTAGCTGGGTCTACAGGTGTGCACCACTATACCTGGCTAATTTTTAAATTTTTTGTAAAAATGGGGTCTCGCTATGTTGCCCAGGCTGCTCTCCAACTCCTGGCCTCAAGCAATCCTCCTGCCTCAGTCTCCCAAATTGCTAGGATTACATACATGGGCCACCGTGCCCAGCCGCCACTGCATTTCTTCTTTTTTTTCTCTTTGTGATGGAGTCTCACTCTGTCGCCCAGGCTGGAATACAGTAGTGCGATCTCGATTCACTGCAACCTCCGCCTCCCAGGTTCAAGCGATTCTCCTGCCTCAGCCTCCTGAGTAGCTAGGACCACAGGTGCACACCACCACGCCTGGCTCATTTTTGTATTTTTAGTAGAGACAGGGTTTCACCAATTGGCCAAGCTGGTCTCGAACTCCTGACCTTGTGATCCGCCGGCCTCGGCCTCCCAAAGTGCTGGGATTACAGGCATGAGCCACCACGCCCAGCCCCATTTTTATTTCTTTTAAATTTTTTGAATATATGTATTTTTTGAGATGGAGTCTCCCTATGCTTGCCAGGCTGGTCTCGAACTCCTGGCCTTAAGTGATTCTCCCAGCTAGGCCTCCCAAATTAGGATTACAGGCGTGAGCCACTGCGCCCAGTCTCCACTGCATTTAAAAAAAAAAAAAATAAGTTACAGGGTATTCCAATTTCTTTTTGTGCCATTGTTTCAATAGGATATCATTAGTGAAACTTTGAGAGCTAATAGGTAGACTGAATATCTCTACAGATATTTCTGTTATCATTATATCTTCTATATCACTGCATCCTGAGTACCTGGCATAATTTAGCATAAAGTAGATGCTCAATACATGTATGTAAAATGAGTGAATGAATCCAAATTATATGGGAAACTGTAGTCACGCTGCTGATAGTTGTATTCACCTCAGTTTCCTGCAGACGGTGTCCAATGAGGCTTAGGGACTCTCCCAACAGCTGAAGATGAGCAGCAACATCAATGGGCTCTGTCTCAGGGGCTTTGGCTGGTGAGGCTGGTAAGAGCATGGTGGTGGGTGGGGATTTCTTCTGGGGTGACAGTACTCCTACAGAAGAGGCTGAGAACAGAGCAATGAGGCAGAGAGGTAAAACTTGCCTACAGCCTTGAACAACACAAAATTGTTCTTCCTGATTTTTCCTTTTTATGAACTATACCAGGCATTAGCAAAATTGCGGCCTGTGGGCTAAATTCAGTCCATGGTCTCCTTTTTTTTTTACGGCCTGTGAGCTAAGAATAGTTTTACATTCTTAAAGGGTTATAGAAAAACAAAGAATATGTGACAGAGAATGTGAGAATGCATACAGCACACAAGGCCTATAATATTTACTCTCTGGACCTATTTTTTTTTTTTTTTGAGATGAAGTTTTGCTCTTGTTGCCCAGGCTGGAGTGCAATGGCACGATCTCAGCTCACCACAACCTCCACCTCCCGGGTTCAAGCAATTCTCCTGCTTTGGCCTCCCCGGTAGCTGGGATTACAAGTATGCGCCACCATGCCTGGCTAATTTTGTATTTTCAGTAGAGATAGGGTTTCTCCATGTTGGTTAGGCTGGTCTCGAACTCCCAACCTCAGGTGATCCACCCACCTTGGCCTCCCAAAGTGCTGGGATTACAGGCATGAGCCACTGCGCCTGGTCTACTCTCTGGACCTTTAAAGCAAAAGTTTGCTGACTTCTGATTTACATTTTCTAAATTTGAACATCTCTTTTTGGTAGCCTGTAACATTCAGTAATAATACCTGGGAATCAAGGTCCACTTCTAATATTGCAAGCTTTTTTCCCAGTTTCTTAGCAAGGAAGCAAAATTCACATGCTTTAGAGAAAAGCAGGATGGGGATGTGGTCACTACCTTTGACTTTCATGGAACCTTCTGAGCTGGATGCTTTCCTTTTCACAGTTGTGGCTTCTGCTTTGTTCTGTTTGTGCTGCAGATACTGAGCTTTTTGCTTCCAAATCTGCAATAACGTCAGTGAACATTAAATTAAAATAAATTTAAAAGGACAAAAAAGTAAAAGGAAAAGCAGTTATGAAAGAACAAAATGGAGAAAAGAAAGGCAATAGTAGGAGGCAGGCAGGCAGAGGGTTAATGCTAACTTTTAAGCTGGGGGTCACTGAACTGACTTCAGACAGCTGACTACATTAATATCTTTTTTTTTGAGACGGAGTCTCGCTCTGTCGCCCAGGCTGGAGTGCAGTGGCCGGATCTCAGCTCACTGCAAGCTCCGCCTCCCGGGTTTACGCCATTCTCCTGCCTCAGCCTCCCGAGTAGCTGGGACTACAAGCGCCCACCACCTCGCCCGGCTAGTTTTTTTTTTTTTTGTATTTTTTAGTAGAGACAGGGTTTCACCGGGTTAGCCAGGATGGTCTCGATCTCCTGACCTCGTGATCCACCCGTCTCGGCCTCCCAAAGTGCTGGGATTACAGGCTTGAGCCACCGCGCCCGGCTTACATTAATATCTTAGTAGAGGACTATAAACATTCCTCAATGCTAATGGTCAAATCTTGGCACTGATTTTTAGATCACTGTAAGGTGAAATGTAAAATCACAGATTAAACATCTGATTCAATATAATGTCTCTGTGGTTCTTCTAATCTGCTGGTTGGCAATACCAACACAACAGCAGGATAACAATAACATGGAAAACAAAAACTAAGGATAATCTATCTGGGTGAAAAATAGTTGTTCATCTAGATGACATATTGCTCCTATATGACCTTCATATCATAAGTCTCAATGATTCAGGTATGACTGTTTTTTGTTTTTTTTTGAGATGGAGTTTTGCTCTTGTTGCCCAAGCTGGAGTACAATGGCAAGATCTTGGCTCAGTGCAACCTCTGCCTCCGGGGTTCAAGCGATTCTCCTGCCTCAGCCTCGCGAGTAGCTGGGATTACAGGCATGCACCACCAAGCCCGGCTAATTTTTTGTATTTTTAGTAGAAATGGGGTTTCGCCATGTTGGCCAGGCTAGTCTCAAACTCCTGACCTCAGGTGATCCACCTGCCTCAGGCTCCCAAAGTGCTGGAATTACAGGCGTGAGCCACCATGCCCAGTCCAGATATGACTGTTTATCAGTGTCTTACTAGCTTCTTGACAGTAGGGTACATTATTTGGTAATGGTTGATGAGGATAATGACCTTGAACCTGGTTACCTAGTAAGCACATTCTCATGTTTTTATTGTCTGCAGTGACTGCTAAGTGGATAACTTTCCTCAGTTCTCAGACCATGACTGATTACTAGGTGTTTTCAGTAAAGGGCTCTGATTTTATAATTTAACACTTTAGTTATGCCTCAACTTAGATCATCTTTTGGCTCAAATGTAACACTGTTGGAAAAAACTAGACCAGGTTAGAAGACAGCCTTGCTATAGCTAAATCCTCATGTACAGTGAACTGGCACTAACAGTGTTATGCCCTCTGCTAAACCATTTTCTATTGATTTGTAATTTTCTTCACTATTTTCAGTGCTGTCTGGCTGGCTGGTCTATGGAAGAATTAGGTATTTTGGAAGGCAAGAAGCACTGAAAAATACGTTTGTTAAGAAAGTATACTTACCAGTTTGTCTTTTTCTGGCAATTGCTTCCACACCTCAGCCAGTTTTTTACTAAGTTCCCCAAAATCTGGCATAAAAGAGTAAAACACTCAATACAGTAAAGGGTTAGCTATTAACAAAACAGAAGATTGGTGAGAGCAAAAACTGTGAAAAGGGTTTTGAAGGTCAGATTTAAATATTGCAAGATTCTCTGAGAAAACCAACCCCAATCCCATTGCTTTTCTTTGATTTTTTTCTATAGGGAAGGGGATGTTTTGATGGTCACAAGACAGTCTCAACTCCTAACCCATCTACTCCCTAGGGATTTATTCCTTAAGCATCTTTCTAGTGTCTCTTTTTGAGACTGAGTCTGGCTCTGTTGCTCAGGTTGGAGTGCAGTGGTGTGATAATGGCTCACAGCAGCCTCAACCACCTGGGCTCAAACCACCCTCTCACCTCTACCCCCCAAGTAGCTGGGACCACAGGCACAGGCTACCACACCTAGCTAATTTAAAAAAAAAATTTTTTTTTTTGAGATGGAGTCTCGCTCTGTTGCCCAGGCTGGAGTGAAGTGGAGTGATCTTGACTCACTGCAACTTCCGCCTCCTGGGTTCAAGTGATTCTCCTGCCTCAGCCTCCGGAGTAGCTGGGATTACAGGTGTGCACCAAAATGCTCGGCTAATTTTTGTATTTTTAGTAGAGACAGGGTTTCACCATGTTGGCCAGGCTGGTCTTGAACTCCTGACCTCATGTAATCCACCCACCTCGGCCTCCCAAAGTGTTGGGATTACAGGCATGAGTCACTGTGACTGGCTATTTTTAAAAATTATTATTTGTAGAGATGAGGTCTCATTATGTTGCCCAAGTTGGTCTCAAACTCCTGGGCTCCAGCAATTCTCCTACTTCAGCCTCCCGAAGTGCTGAGATTATAGGCATGAGCCACTGCATCCTCCCTCTGGTGTCTTTAATTTGATCCCACAATACAAGGCCTATCAACTTAGGTTAAAAAATATGTGTAGAATTTGAAAAAAGGTGTTAGGTTTTTACCAAATTTCTGAACAATTAGAACCAAAGAAGGATTTCCCTAGAGCAGCTCAGAAGCAATCCTCTAGATGCGTAATCTTACCCTTCCACTGTATAACAGTTTTATGCTTTATAAAGCATATTCATGTGTGCCTCACTGCGGCCTTTTGGAGTTGGTAGGGCAGCGATTTTACACATTAGGTAAAGGAAATCTGTAGCGGTTAAGTGACATGTGTCTCACCTCATTAACTTCTAATACAGAGACAAATACAGACAGTCCCTGACTTATGATGGTTTGACTTTTGATTTTTCAATATGTACTCAGTAAAAACTGTACTTCTAGTACCCATACAACCATTCTGTTTTTCACTTTCAGTACAGTATTCAATACATTACACAAGATATTCAACACTTTATTATAAAACAGGCTTTGTGTTAAATGACCTTGCTCAAGTGTAGGCAAATGTTAAGTGTCCTGAGCACATTTAAGGCCCACCTTAAATGTGTTCTGTAGGTTAGGTGTATTAAATGCATTTTTGACTTACAGTATTTTCAACTTTCAATGGGTTTATCGGGATGTAACACTATCGTAACTTGAAGAGCATCTTTACAACAATATAATACAAGACATCTCATCATAACTTTATATCCAAGGGCAGTTTAAGGAAAAGGCCAATTGTAGAATCTTGGAAATAAACAATTGTATATTTTTGTGCATTTATGTATGTGCTTTATAACATTTATTTTTACGTACTTTCCCACCTTATCAGTTTAAGAGATATGTATAGAAAGTTCATCTCTTTTACAGATGAGGTAAACTAAGGCAAAATCTAAAGTGATTTGTAGAGCTGAGGAAAGAAACAAGATTATCTATGCTCTAATGCTACAGGAAGAAGAAATTAACTGCACTGCTTCAAGATATAAATGGAAAGCAAAAGCGCTACAGATCAGCAAAGTTCTTACCTATACCTGGATGGTCAGCCACAATGGTCACGCGATACTCTTTACAGAACACCTGGTAGGCCGACATGTTCTTCTTTTTTGGCTAGTGCCACATAGAAGATACAACAGGGTAAGACTTGATTAGAACCCAAGTTTAGTAATGCTGAATCCACAGTAATAAAATAGAAGGATACCTAAACTTTTTCATCAAGGGAAGAGTTCCAAACTACTAACCAGCTTTCCTAAACAGAATAATAATTCTTTTTTTTTTTTGAGATGGAGTCTTGCTCTGTCGCCCAGGCTGGAGTGCAGTGGCGCAATCTTGGTTCACTGTAACCTCCCCTCCTGGGTTCAAGCGATTCTTCTGCCTCAGCCTTCCAAGTAGCTGAGATTACAGGTGCCCACCACCATGCCTGGCTAATTTTTATATTTTTACTAGAGATGGGGTTTCACCATGTTGGCCAGGCTGTTCTCGAACTCCTGACCTCAGGTGATGCGCCCACCTCGGCCTCCCAAAGAGCTGGGATTACAGACGTGAGCCACCGTGCCTGGCCAGGAAAATACATTTTTAATCCATGTTACTTACCACTTAGAGATGAACATCAGTTTTAATTTTAGTAGGTAAAAACCACATGCTAAATTATTTGTAAAGACCTTCCTTCTCCCTATATACAATCCCATGTGACATATTTCTTTCAGAATTCAGTGTTAAGAAAATCTTTATCACTCCTGGGGTATCTATTTTTCTCACCTTTGAAAATCTGAACCATATAATTTCCTTTTAAACTCTGGAGCCAGAAATGCAAGAGCCAAATCTATGTTCTTTTTGCTTCTCTGGTTTTGATTTCTAGTCTTGTAATTTCCATCATCCTGCTTTTATTGTCATTTGTAGCTTCTCATTATTGGACTATTCACATTCTTTGGGTTCAAGGTAAGAAGCGAATAAATAACTGAAGACAATTCTTTGGTAGTCACTGTCAGATGAAATGTCTTCAACAAACTGCTCTGTACTACCTGAGGCATGTTTGTTCTTCACTATATTCTGACCCAATGCCAAAAGGAATATATGATTTTTGAGAAACAAAATCAAATTATTTTTAAAGTCAGTTCAATAAGAGACATATAAAACAGATGATTATATTTTTATGCATTCCATTTTACAATTATACATGGTCTAAGGGGAAAAAGTTAAGTTTTTTCTATCAAGAAAGAGACATGCAATTAGATTCATCTATCCAAATTTCTCATTGTGAGGATGGGAAAAAATAAAGTCAGAGAAATTGTAACTTGCTGAGGGTACCATCACTAAGCTAGTAGTAACACTAGACCCTGGCAGTTATAACCACAACCCAGGTAGCCCTGACTTTCAGGGTTATGGGCCCAAGAAAGAATATATGTTGCTCCCTTACAGAAAAAGTTAGCTATTTAAAGTAAAGAAAGGGTTATCACTTAATAATCTTAATCTTACAAACAAATATTTTCAGTATGGCTTTCTGCAAAAACTTATCTGGAAGCATCAAAATGTGATTCTCAGTCTTTCATCTATTCCTAGTCCTTTCTGGCCCTACAGTTATTAAAATGATATGAATGTGGCCAGGCGCAGTGGTTCATGCCTGTAATCCCAACATTTTGGGAGGCCGAGGCGGGTGGATCACGAGGTCAGGAGATCAAGAGCATCCTGGCTAACATGGTGAAACCTCGTCTCTACTAAAAATACAAAAAATTGGCCAGCGTGGTGGTAGGCGCCTGTAGTCCCAGCTACTCGGGAGGCTGAGGCAGGAGAATGGTGTGAACCCAGCAGGTAGAGCTTGCAGTGAGCCAAGATTGCGCCACTGCACGCCAGCCTGGGTGACAGAGTGAGACTCCGCCTGAAAAAAAAAAAAAAATGACATGAGTGTTTGGTGCTTTCAACGCCCTTGGGAGCTTTTGTTTGCCTTAAGAATGAGATTTTGGGATGAAAACTAAATCAGTCACACAGTCCTGTCTCATAACTTCAGAGTTGTATTTTGCTTTAAACAAAGCTCGATCGTGCACTCTGCCTAGCTGCCTTAGTTCTTCATGTTGTTCCCACAAAATAATAACCCTCAAAGGACAAAGACTGACTGAGGCTGATGGCAGTAAAAAGCTCATGTGATGACTCTGACTTTAATTCCAAAAGCTATTCTGAAATCATTTGATGAATGGAAATATTCCTAGAACACTTCCCAAGGTAAACTGCTTTGAATGAGATTGCACTTATTTGAGATAAAATTTGTGGTATGTTTGTTAAATTTCATACTAATCTTTTAATCATGGCTTATTTATATGTCTGACATTTACTAGAATACATGATGAAAGAATAATTTGTGGAAGTCTATACGCTGCCAAATCTTTCCCAACTGTACAATCAATCTCACTTCTAAATACTGAGAACATTAGAAAATACATATGCTTGAGAGATTTCATAGCTTATTTGGCCATATTATAAAACTTACAAGGAAGGCATTTAACAACGTTTTCTCAAACACAATATAATACTGTAAAAGGTTAATGTTCCTATTCTATAAGGCTATCCATAGCTGTCACACTAATCACAATTCTTGGCTAATATACTATAGATTCAAATTCACATATTGAAGAAAAAGGTTTCCTTCATAACTCTTACACAGGATTTTATTCAATTATGTAGAAAACAGATTAGCGTTTATTGAGTACCTGTGCTGGGTGGTGGTATAGCAAGTAGTTAGGAGGAAAAGCTTTTGAAGACTAGATCTAATTATAAGGAAGTTAAGCTGCATAAAATAGTGGAAAACACATGAAATTTACAGTTTAAAGACCACAATCTTGTCTCAGCTTCCCCATATACTAATTATTTGATCCTGAATAAAACACATGGGAAGTGGACAGCTTTTCTAATAAGTGATATTAAAAGTATTTCAATGGCAATTAAGGAAAAGCAGAGACTAAGATTTCAAAGGTAGTAGAAAAAAAAGTAACCCATTAAAGTATTCTACTATTCATGTATTAATAATATTTACTGAGTATCCATATGTGCCAGACACTGGGAATACAGATAAGGATCAGATGTAGAATCTAACAAATGAGGCAGTTAAATATGTCATTGTAATAAAACATAGTGCTATTATAGGGAAAGCATTTGGTGCTATGGGAACATGTAGTAGGAGTGCGTTCCCAAGTTAGGGAGTCAAAGAAAGCCTTCTGGAGGAAGTGACATTTAATCTAAACCAGAGAGATGGGTAGAAGTAGGCAGATGAAGGGTGGTTAAGAGTGTTCTAGGCAGAGGAAACAACATGGGGACACATTTATCAAAGAAGAGAGAGGTAAGAGACGATGTTAGAGAAGCAGGCAGAGCCCATAAACTGAGGCCATGTAACCCATATTAAAATGTATGGATTCTGTCTGGAAGAAGTCATTCAAGTATTTTAAGTAGGAAGTTATATAGTCAGGGTTACACTTAAGGACTATGGAGAACAAACTGGAGAAGAACAAGAGCAAAGGCAGGAAGACCAATCAGGAGGCTGCTGCAGGAGTGCGGGGAAGGGATGAATGATGATGACCCACAATCAAGACAGTGGGTTGGGAGAAAAGCAAATAAACTGGGAAGGGGGAAGATGTGACAGGATTTGTTAGAGATAGTGTGGCAAAAATGGCTTTGAAGACCAGCAAATCTGCGTTAGAATCCTGACCATGCTATTTACTAGTTACGTGAATTGCTTCATTTTCCTGACATTTCGTTTCCCTACAAGTAAAACTTGGATAACACCATTTAACTCAAAGGTGGGAATTACTCCATTGGTGTGTGGCACTTCAGTAGGTACTCAATGTTATTTCTGTGGCAAGCAGAATTATAAGATGGCCCCCAAGACCCCTTCTCCTGGGTTTGCATTCCCGTAAGGGTGGGCAAGACATGGTCATGTCATGTTATATGGCTAGGGGATTGTGCAGATGCACTTAAGGTCTCTAGTGAGTGGACTCTGAGTTAGTCAAAAGAGAGATTATCCTGACTGGGCCTGACCGTAGCAGGTGAGCACATAAAAGAGACAAGAAGCCCAGTGAGCTGTTTCGAAGACATCAACTGATTCTAAAGTTTATATGAAGAGGCCACAGACCCAGAATGGACAACACAGTATTGAAGAAGAACAAAGTCGGAGGACTGACACTACCCTACTTCAGTATTACTATGAAGCTACAATAACCAAGACAGTGTGGCACTGGTGAAAGAATACACAAATACATCAGTGGAACAGAATAGAGGGCCTAGAAACAAGCTACCTAAATAAAGTCAACGAATCTTTGACAAAGGAGCAAGGACAATACAATGAAGAAAAGACAGTATTTCAACAAAAGATGCTGGGACAATTGGATATTCACATGCCAAAAAAAAAAAAAAAAAAAAAAAAGGAATCTAGACACAGACCTTATCCCCTTCACAAATTAACTCAAAATAAGTCTCAGACCTAAATGTAAAGTACAAAACTATAAAACTCCCAGATGGTAACACAGGAGATGATCTTGAGCTTGGCAATTACCTTCCAGAAACAGAAACCAAAGACATAATCCATGAAAGAAGGTACTGATAAACTGGGGTTCATTAAAATTAAAAACTTCTGCCAGGCGCAGTGGCTCACGCCTGTAATCCCAGCACTTTGGGAGGCCGAGGCGGGCGGATTATGAGGTCAGGAGATTGAGACCATCCTGGCGAACACAGTGAAACTCCGTCTCTACTAAAAATACAAAAAATTAGCTGGGCGAGGTGGTGGCGCCTGTAGTCCCAGCAACTCAGGAGGCTGAGGCAGGAGAATGGCGGGAACCCGGGAGGCGGAGCTTGCAGTGAGCGGAGATCACACCACTGAAAAAAAAAAAAAAAAAAAAAAAAAAAAAAAAAAAATCAAAAACTTCTGCTCTGCAAAAGTCACTTAAGAAAATGAAAAGACAATCCACAGACTGTGAGAAAATATTTACAAGGGGCATAGCTGATAAAGAACTATTATCCAAAAATCTCTTTTTTTTTTTAAGACAAGCTCTCACTCTGTCATGCAGGCTGGAGTGCAGTGGTGTGATCATAGTCCCCGGCTTCAGCCTCCTGAGTAGTTAAGACTACGA